CCAGTGCCTTCACTCTTCTCTAATGAGGCGATAATTCAAGGCAATAGAGAGGAGGTGGTGTGACTGTGGTGAAGCGGACGAGAAAGCTACATCCGTCATTCCTTAGCTACGTCGCGTAGCAGAAGTAAGAACATGCAGAGATGAAAGAGTTAGCTTGCCTTCCGCATTACATTACATTGTATTGCATGGAGGCAAAATGGCAGATCGGACGAGATGCATTTGTAGATCGGATGGCGGCAAGACGTCACAGGCAAGGGAAGAAGAATGCGATTGTGGAGGTGGTAGTTGAGGCTGCTGCAGCGACGGAGGTAGGCGCATTGAAGGCAGAATGGACGCAGTCGTCGCGACAGTAGCAGCCAGGCAGTTGGGAGAGGATGAAGTGGGAGAGAAGGCTGCCGCTGACCAACATTACGTGAGGGAGTGACTGCTGGCGAAACAGGGGCAATCGTGTAGCACAGGAAATGAAATACTGGGTAGGGACATTATCCTACAGAAAACACATATTATTAAGGAATACGTTTATGAGGGGACTCCTGAGACACTGCAGCGATTGCTTAAAAGAACCGTGCGAGGTCATACCACTCGTCTCCCTTGAAGCACGGTGATAAAAGGAGTGATGGCACAGAAGATGAGGTTTTGATTTGTCATGCAGGCAATTACTGCACTCAATTCTTGACACATCAACACAATTATGGAAAAGTGGCTTCACAATGAAGAGCCTTCGTGGTATGCTGACGGTCTGCTCGACAGACCGAAAGATCGCAGCGTACTGAACGGCAAGTTAATGCAGTCCAAGAAAGCAATGCAAACCAAATATGCTTACCGTACACAGCAAGACAACAAAGCGCGTCTTTCGACGAATAATTTGGCTTGAGGAGCTTTTACAGCCTTTCATCCTTCTAAACAGTTGCCGCACTCCACCATGCGAAATGAAAGTTGTTTTGTGGAATTGTTAGAGTGCCGAAATGAAATGACATGCGAAATCTTTCAGGCGACATTTCATGACATGAATTGCAATTCATGCAAAATGCCTTTTATGAAATGAAAAGCATGATGTATGGCAGTTGAACTTGGTGAAAGTGGAATCGCTATGAAAGTGAAGGAAAATGAGTAGAAGCAGACGGCTCACTGCAATATTCCCCATTCCAAGCGCACTGTAGATTCGATCGCTTCAATCTGTTTTCCCGTACCATCCTCGCATACACAGGAAGCGCATACATCTGCTTAGCATTTTGCATCTCTACATGCACACACCTCTCCTCTCCTCTACATACATCCCAGCTCGATTTCTCCCCACATTGATACTGATGGAAGAGACGACGTGTGTGATGATGGAAAGTATGACGTTGGGGACTGCAGATGTTACTGAGAGGAGGGCAGGTATAAGCAGGCTGAAGGCCACAGACAGTAGAAAATGAAGTGGATCACGAAAGGCATGAAGTGAAGGCAAGGCGAAGGTGATGATGATGATCGTATTTATCCATCTTTTAATCTCACCCTTAATTCATTTAACCTTTCATCTCTCCATCCATATCCTTTCCTACCATGCATCCGCTATCCTCTATTCTTTCATTTATTCCTCCCTCTATGCGTCCGTGTTTTCGTATTCCACCACCTGACTGGCCCGGAGTTATCGCCCTGTGCTCCAATCTCATTGTAGGAGCCACTGGTGTCGTCGCTTTGTCAGCTGTCGGAGCTTGCCTGGTGGTCGTCGCATTCCCCTCCACCGTGTTCACTCCTGGGGTGACACGATTGATACTGGCAACTGAACGAGAAATAATCACAAGGAAGTTGAATTTCAACGCCAGAAGGCAACTCGGCGCCACTTCCGCATGCGTTGAATCAACTGTTGAACCGTCTGCTGCATTGCATAATATCAAGCCACAACTTTTGCTACTGGCTTGACATTCCTCATGCCTCGGCTGGCATTTGATCAGTGGGAAGGCAGGTGCACGAATTGCTTCATCAGACGTCAATGGTTGCTCGGTAGTCTGCTTACCACGCCTTCTCACTTCCTCCTAGTGGGATGCTCTTCTCTATGTCTCAGGTGACATTCCATGGAATAAAATGCCATTCATGCAAAACGCCTTTTTTGAAATGAAAAGCATGATATATGGCAGTTGAATTTGGTGAAAGTGGAAAGGCTATGCAAGTGAGGGAATATGACTACCACAGTCGGCTCACTGCAATATTTTCCATTCCAAGCGGTAGATCAGAAGTAAAGAAATGAAATATTGCGTGATCTTATGGAACCATCAGCTTACTTCTCCGTCGACCTAGTGCAATCATCATCGTGAGGCGCAGAGCTGACAGGGCATTGCACGTGGTGGGCATTGAGTCGACGTGGCGGAGAGTTAACTGTGTGAAAATATCTGCAAAA